AACTCAAATCAACAAGACTTTACTACTTTCATTTGGTTTTCCCTCCATGTGCTATAGCCCAGAAACTGACTTCAGGCAGCATTAGTTGGAAACCATAGTCCTATCATCTCTATTGTCCAGTGCCTGAAAAGAGTTGTTTCATATGTTTTGTCTATTTTTTAAAGTTGTTTATAGGAGGAAAGCAATTCATTTAGCTGTTAATTCTTCATAAGCAGAAGTCCTACCAACAGCAAAACAACTCGTTAAAGATAGTGGTAGTATGATTCATTTTTCAATGGTCAGAAGTAATGTGTAGAAGAATTGAGGGGATTTTGTGGAAAGATATGGGGCTGTTGAGAGCTGTGAACTTGTAAACTACCATCTTGCATTTGAAACAGTGTAGATGATGCAGCATCTACTTTTCTAATCCTAATCACTGGGAGGGAATCTATAATTTCCATGAAATAAATTGCAAGTACTACTATCTATGGGCTTGGATCTGCTACTGTCTGTAGAATGTTCACCCTAGAGGCTTTTTGTGTAGAGAAGTAGGGGGAAGGTTGCTTTAGAAGGAGGCTGACAGATCTTTCTCCTTGAGCCTTGGATTCTATATCTATGTTATGGTCTGATGTCTCACCTTTACTCCCTAACTCTGATTCTGATTATTCCCCACACACTTTCCCAATCACACACACTTTGTGAAACCATTTACTCTCTCTTTTTAATGACTGAGCCCTTCACTATTTCACCAGCTCCTGTATGTAGACTTCGGTGTGTGTCAAATTTGGAATGGCATGTCTGCCCCATACAGGAAAGAGCCTAATATCATTGTATATAAAGTTCCTTCACTGGATACCCATAGGCTGAAGGGGGCCTCACATTTCAAAATTCTATTCCTATGAATTTAGTCTGTCCAAGGAGACATTAGGAACATATTTATAGAGGACCCTAAAGAATAGGAAGCCAACCAGTGCACATTCTGCAAAGAGGAGGGTCATTGGAGAAGGAAATGTCCCTGATATTTCCAAGAGAAGCCATGTATTGTCAGCCAGACCCTGACCTTTCCTGGCAGATGGCACCACTGGTAGAGGAAAGCTAAAAGAGCCAAGAGGCTTCACACATGTCCCTAAGAGTGATCTTTGAAGAATCTCGGGTGACTCTCACAAGTAGATAGGAACAGGGTCAGTTTTGATCAACGTGGTCCTAAACATCTGGCAGGAGACTACAGCCTAAGCATAGTCCTACATAGACATTTAAAAGGAAAAAAAATGTTTTTAAAAAAATGTAACTTAAACATACATTTGTGTCAGCCCTACTTAAAGTAAGTAAAGCTGGAGGCTATAGAGGAAGGGTTCTTGTGTGGAAGTGCACAATAATAATGATCATAAAGAATTCTAAGGTTGCAAGTTTGTCCTGAGTTAATTTGAGCCTGATCTCATAGACCTACAAATCTTCCTAACCTCCTACATTGATAAACTTGATCTGTTTCCCACTGATATGATTATGAGTTAACTGTTTCATGGTTTTCAGAGACTGGCTGAAATGCTAATTGCTTTTGTGCTAATTAGTTACAAAAAAGTAATGCTTTGCTATCTTGTTTATTATTGTCTTAGCATGAACCTTGCCCTATGTATGCTTTGCAAAGTTACCTCACATCTGCTTCTGTGGACCTCTGGACTTCTCTGATGCTGAATACCCTTAATTGTCCAAGCCACATCTGATAGAGAACAAGGACTTTGGGTTACTTCCCCAAACTTCACCTTCTTTCAGCAGAAAGCAGCTTGGAGATGTCATTGCCCATTTTTCCATAGAAATGGAATGTAGAAATTGACAGTGGGAGAATATAACAGTTGTCTACTTTATGCTTTGAATATATATAACCCTTGCTGCTCTGCCACTACAACTTACTTTTAAATGGATGTTTCTTTCTTTTCTTCTCTCCCTGCTCTCCCTAATCTCTCCCCCTCCCTAATTTCAGGGGAAACAGGATTACCTCCCTTCCCCATTTTAGTCAGATTTATGTATCCTTGAGTATACACCCATCATAGGAACAAAGTAATCGAGACATTGGGTATGGTACCAGAAGATCTCAGAAATGACTATGTCCCAAATTAACAAGTGAATTACAACTCCAACAGAGAACATGTGCAATGTAGCCTTGAATCCCCTCTTAAAATCCCCCTGTTCCTGCTGACTGGCAGAATCACAGCCTCCAGGACAGGAGTCTTCTGTGTTTCTCCTTGGCTAGCAAAGCAGTAAACCTTCTTTTTCATTTTTCTAAAAAAAAATTACTCATAAATTTATCCCAAATAAGAATTGCATCTCTCAGAACTTAATGTCCAGATAGACAACCCCATCATGTTCTCAAAGTTTCTCAAAGACGATTTTGGCTCAAGATTATTATCTCTTCTGAGAGTCACAATATCAATCAGCGTTTCTCAGCCTTAGCATCTCAGCAGTTAGCATCTAGGGCTGGATAATTCTTTGTTGTTTGGACCATTCTACGAATGTTTAGCAGCATCCTTGGCCTCTGCCCACTGGATGTCAGTAGCACTCTCCTCCCAATTTTGACAACCACAGATGTCTCCAGATACTGCCAGATGTCTCCTGGAGGTACAAAATTGCCCTGGTTGAGAGTCACTGGTATAGATGCAACATGGTGTGTCACACTCCAGGGCACCACAGAAGTGCAGCTTGGGAACTAAAGCTGGAGAAACCCAGGTCAGTCTATAGTGTCTGCCCTGTGTACAGTGTGCGCTGGGAAGGCATTGACCTTGGATTGCAAACTACTAGATACAAGTCTGCCTCTGTAGATTTGGAATAAGGGTCTCCACTTCTCTGCTCAATTTATTTATTTGAAAATGAGGAATGGTGTTGTTTATGCCACACAACACTGCTGTAGTGAGAACAAAGTGAGGTTTTATATATACAGGAATTCCTATACACAAACACATACTTCTTCCATATAAGGATACAATATGCATGGATTTAATAATGATTCATAGATAAGTGTACTTAATTTGCCAGTATAATTAAAATGGCAGTATAGAAAAAAATATATCTTCTAATTTGTAATGTAATGTGTAATCCCTCCTGTGGTTTGTGATATTGTTCTCTGCTAGAAGGCTTAATAGGGGATGTCTAACTATAAAAAATAAAAAAAGAAAAAGAGTGCCTTTTTAGCAATTAAAGTCATAACTAAATTAGAATACAAAGAGTAAGATTTTTATATTTGATTGTTAATTTTGCATTTAGTAATCTCTCCAGGCTGCACAAGAACTTAAATGTCTTGTCGAGAGATAGTGGATTTTCATTCTCCTGGGATGTCATTATAATGAACCTGGTAAATAATTCAGGAACATATTAGAGGCCAATGGATGGGCAGCACCTGGTGCCATATTGTTCATGCCTAAGCACACAGAATCTAAGATGGCATTCTACACCTGTCACTATTATTCTGGCTTAAACACGGGTCCTATGCTCAGTGACTATAGAAATAATAGTTGTTAATATTTTTATCCCATTTTCCTCCACAATCAAAGAATATGGTGCTATGCGGTTTCAAAAACACAAAGCAGAAGTGGCATCCTCTGAATTGCTTCAGTCAAATTTCAAATCTATTTTCTCTATTAAGGGATAGGTTGCTTTAAAAATTAGTAGAAAGGATTGCTTTTCTACTGAAAGATTTATTTTCTAGTAGAAAAGTTTGCTTTTCTACTGGTCTTAATTTGAGCCTTTTGGCCTTTCTGCCTTTGCTGTTCAAGGTTGAGTTTCTTTTTAGATCACACTATTTATATTGAAGGCATCTTCTGAGAAAAATGATACCATCCTTGGCCACTCATTTAGAAGGAATTTCTACTTCTAAGTTCTTCTTCCTATTATTACCTGAGTAGCCAACCTAAACTCTGTCAGTATATATTTTTAAAAACAAGCAAACAAACTGGGCATGGTAGCATATACCTATAATCCCGTGGCTCAGGAGGCCAAGGCAGGAGGATTGCAGGTTCAAGGCCAGCCTCAGCAATTTAGCAAGGCCCTAAGCAACTTGGTGAAACTCTGTCTTAAAATAAAAAATAAAAAGGGCTGGGGATGTGACCCAATAGTGCTTAACTACTAGATTCAATTCCTGGCACCAATGAACAAACAAACAAACAAAAACAAGCAAACAAGACCTCTCAAAAACCCCCATTCACTGGACATAGAATGTTCTTCCACACTCTGAGAGAACAAGAGGTAGAGTGACAGATCATGTATGGAGACAGCATGGGCACCAAGCCCAGTACCACCGAGGATCAGACGGAGATTAAACCAGAAGTTACATGGGAAAATCTTAGAAGAGCAGGAGGTTTCCTAGGAGGGAAGGAAAAACAATGTGTCTTACACATCTAATGTAAAGTTTTTACAGTAATGGGCCATGAAAGGAATCTGAAGACAGACTACAGAACTTTTTACCTAGAAATTGCTAGATGTGCTTTATCTTTGTTTTTAAAGTATTATTTATAATAATGGTTTAAAATTATACAAAAGTACTTTATATCTTTAACCTTTGTAATATATAAGTACATAATTATACAGTAAAATATAATTGCATATGATAAAATAAAAAATATTTTAAAAATTTGTGTTTGTGCTTGTTAACACAGTTGCTTTCCTTTCTTCAAGGCCCTGCGTGAATGTATTTGGAACAGTGACCGCCCTCTGGTGGTGAGCCAGAATCATCACTTTTTGTGACCTAACGGTTACCAAGATGCCCACTCTTGGCACACATAGTACACTCTAGCAGCAGGGGACCCATTGAAGGATGTCTGATGTTGGAGTATGTCTGATGAAGGAGCCTAATGAAGTAAGCCTTTGCTTCCATCCGAATTTGTTATTTATTCCGGATTTCAGCCAGAAGCCAGCTCCAAAATGGGCTTCTGAAGAAAAGAGTGGAGTTGCTTTTGTGTTTCAAAGGTCTGCCTCCCTTACCAGTGGATGACTAAGACTGTGAATAAGTACACACCAAGAGGGCATGTGGTGACATGGAGCCTGAAATAAACTGCTCTGAATTTTGTGACAGTTTTCCTGGCCAGGAGCTGGATCAGAGACCCCTTCATGATCTCTGCAGGACAACAATTGTAAGTGAGCAGTCAAGGGGCATCAGGGGTGCTCACATTATTGTTGTTGTTGGCAGTGAGGTGGGGGAGGAAGGAGAGAGGAGAAATGCCGAGGCAAGAACATGTATTTCCCAGCGTTGGTGCTGATCTGCAGAAGATCCTTCATTCTTAACAGCTTCTCTTTCCTCTCTCTTCAGACCTCTTCCCAGCATAGCAGTAAGACGGTCACTTCATTGTCTCCTGCCCTCTTGGGTGTTATTTGGACTTTTCTCAGCGGTGGACTACTTTTGATACTCTTCTTCCTTGCCTTCACAATTCGCTGCAGGAAGAACAGGTAAGCAGCCCCGGGCCTAGTTCTTCATCGCCTATGGCCCAAACTGTGAAACCTAGAGTGCTAACATCATTTTGGCACCACAAGCATCCAGCCAGTATCAGCAAAGCTTGTCTCCCACTGTGTGAGTCACATGAGAAGTTCCCTCTGAAATACTACTGGACCTGGTAGTACAATTCCCTCCCGAGCAGAGAAAGCTCCGCCCAGTATTGTACCAATTACTACAGTGAGTATCCAAAGAAGAGAACGAAAAATCTCTCTCCATATAAGAGGGATAGTCCTTCAAAGAAAATGAGATACTTGTATGAAAAACAGAGACCCTGTAGATAAAATGTGTAAAACAGTATAAAGTGTATAGAGTTCACAATGGAATCAATCTGGGTTAAGGTTTTCACAGAACAGTGGAGTTTTACCGCCTGGCTGTTCTGCTAGACAGTTTTGGTGGGCTGGGACATCACTGGTGCATCAGGGTAAGCATCTCTGGTTTCAAGCCTGGCAAAAGAAGCAATTGGAGACTTGTCTGAAGGAACACACAGACTCTTGCCTTTACTGCTCTTTATTCCTTCCTTTGGGGCCCACCCCATCTCTCCCACCTCAACACTTATACCCTCCTCTGGCCCCACTGTTCCAGTCTGCTTCTGAAGCCCAGCTTCAGCCCTCTCTCTCTGCCCAGCTGACTTCTGGTTGGAGCCTATAATCAGAATTCAACCCCTCCCCAGAGGCCAAACTCATCCAGTCCCACTCGAGTCTCACACCTGGTAGTGATCAAGTATATTGTACTCCATTGCCTATGATAGATTTGGCACTTAGATGAGGATCTGTCGGTTGTATTTGTTTAGCAAGCATTTGGGGATGCCATTTGCCATTTTAGGCACCACAGACAGGGAATTGCTAAGCAACATTGACCTGATTGGCTGGGTCAGCCTCAGCATGTGACATGTGGCACTCAAACTGGAATACACCCCCAAGCTTCCCCAGCCACTTTTCATTCTGTTTCTCAGACACACTAAGCTTACTTCCATCTCAAGGTCTTTGTGCTTTCTGTCCCTTTATTGTTCCCTCTGTCTGACAGTCTTCTCCAGATCTTTCTGTGGCCCATGCCTCCTCATCTTATAGGTCTTGGCTCTAGTGTCACTTCTTCAGAGAAAACTTCTCTGACCATCTGTTGTAGTCAGCTTTTTCGCTTCTGTGACTGAAATATCTGACCAGAACAATTTTAGGGGAGAAAAGTTTATTAGAGGGCTCACAGTTTCAGAGACCTGAGTCCATAGAAGGCCGGCTCCATTCCTTGGGGCTTGAGGTGGGGCAGAACATCATCTGGAAAGAGTGGGGCAGAACCTCGTGGCAGAAGAGTGTGTCAGAGGGAACCAGCTCACATGATGATCAGAAAGCAGAGAGAGACTCCACTCACCAGATACCAATATATACCCCAAATCTACACCCCCAATGCTCCACCTCCTCCAGCCACACCCCACCAGCCTTCAGTTACCACTCATTTAATTCCATCAGGTGATTAATTTGCTGTCTGGGTGAAGGCTCTCGTAACCCAATCATTTCTTCTCTGAACCTTCTTGCATTATCTCACACATGAGCTTTTGGGGGATACCTCACATCCAAACCATAACACCATCTTATCTAAAGGAGCCTCTCTACCCAATGGCCATCCAGCCCATCTCATTCCACATACCATCACCATGTTTTATTTTATGTAACTATCTGATATTACTGTGTTGATTGAATTGTCTGTTTTGTCCGTATCCCTCTACAGAATGTAAAGCCTGTGAATACACGGACCTTATCTGTCATGCTCACCACTTTTCCTCCAGCAATTAGAACAGATTCTGGAACATAATAGGTACTAAGTAAACAGTGTTCAGTTATCTTGAGAATAAGGATATTTAAATCCTAATATTGAGTGATATCAAGAAAGTGACTAGGAAAATCATTCATTTCAAGGTTAGAACAACAGAGTAACAGTCTGTTGAACTACAGCACATTTCATTAATGAAATTTAAACCTGATTGACAAATAAGAAAAAGATATCATCATTCCACATATCATTTTTCTTCCAGCAAACCAGTAGTTTAAAGCACTCAGGGGCAAGCTCTCTCACAGTTAAAGAGGAAGACCTACACTGAGAATACCATGTCAGTGCCTTCCTGTTGTACAAGTAATAGGTGGCTTAATGACCTCAGAAACTGAGTCTTTGCTGCACATAAAGTTGAATGTATAGATGAATAAGCAGAAGAGACATTTGCCTTATATTTAAAAACTGCAACTGAATGTTGAAGAAAGCACGTATCAGAGCATATTTTTAATTTTAAGGACAATATTATCTATTGGCAATAGATGCTCTAGGACCTATACTTGAGATTGAAGGCTATAGAAGATAGGGGAGATCGAAGGCAGGGGTTGTAGCTCAGTGGTAGAGTACTTGCCTAGCACATGTGAGGCATTGGGATTGATCCTCAGCACCACATAAATAAATAAAAAAAGATATTGTGACCATCTACATCTAAAAAACATATTTTTTTAAAAAATGAAAATCAGCTGTCATTCTGGCTGTAAATGGTTGTGGATATTTACTGAGTGCTAATATTTTAATTGGAATATTTATTATTTTACTAATACTCACTAGAAAGTTAAATGTGTTTCAAGCATTAGAGCCCCATCATATTTTTTTTCTAACCCATTATTTTTATACACAGTTTTGCAGAATGCAAGGCTTGTCAAGCATTTGTATATCCTGTTAAAGCAGAAAGCAGCTATAAATAGCATTAACATAAAAATATCTATATTTCTTTCTTTTTATTAAAATTTTGCTGCCTGTTGTCTTTGCAGTGGAAGCATGATTTGGCATAAAGAATAAAATAATAGGAGTCACTGTGAATAAGAATACATTTTGTAATTAAGTAACTTACAAGGTCAGACAGGAAATATAAAATAACTCATTTTCAAAAGTACTTTTCTGAGCTATAAAATTTGTTCAAAGGTGCAGCATCACAATTCAATATTCAATGTCATTTAAGTTCTGTGATCTCTAAATTTGTGTGTGTGTATGTGTGTGTGTATGTGTGTGTGTACGTGTGTATATACGTGTGTACTTTCTTAGGCATGCATATGCTAAAGGAAAAAAACCCCTTTTGACAAAATAAAATAATACAATAATATTTAAGTTCAGTTGCAGATCCTGCATTTTTGATAAAAATTTAAAAATGTAATCTACAACAGAAAATCAGTAAAAATATAAGAAACCTGAACAATCCTATCAATCAACTTGACCTAATTGGCATTTATGCAAGCCTTCACCCAACAATAGCAGACTATAAATTTCTTTTCAAGTACACATGGAACATTTACCAAGATAGAGCATATTCTGGGCCATAGAAAATGTTTCACTAAATTTAAAAGGATTCAAGTCCTATGAAGTATGTTCTCTGAATACAATGGAATTAAATTAAAAAGCAATAACAGAAGAATCTCTGGAAATTTTTAAAATATTCAGGAGCTAAGTAGAACACTTTAAAAAAAAAAAAAACAAAAAAAAACTCATGGTCAAAGAAAAAACCAAAAAGGAAATTAGGAAGTATTTTGGACTGAATGAAAATGAAAAAGCAACATATCAAAATTTGTTGGGTGACTTTCAAAGGAGTACCATAGGGAAGATTTATAGCACTAAACTTTGAAGTTTAGAAAGAAGAAAGGCCTCATGTCAATGACCTTACCTTCAATCATAGAAAAAGAAAAAAAAAATTAGAGCAAATAAGTCCTAAACTAAATAGAAGAAAGGAAATGATAAAGATTAGTAGAAATTGATGAAATGGAATACAACATGAAAAAAAAATCAGTGAAACCAAAAGCTGAATGTTTGTGAAGACCAATAACATCAACCACCTCTAGCCAAACTAAGCAGGGAAAGAAACAGAGGGAAGGAGGAGAGAGGGAGATATAATTACCCAAATAAGGAATGAGAGAAGTGACATCACTATAGATTCTACAGATATTAGAAGGGTTATAAGGTAATATTATGAACAACAATCTCTTTGAGTGGAGATTTAGCACTGGATTTACTTATTAATGGGATGTCACTTCTGGTAGTAGGTTACAAAAGATTGTGGCTTCCACCTTGGATCTCTCTCACACCTCCACTCGCTCATCACCATATGATAAGCTCCCTGTGGAGAGGGCCGCATGACAAGGAACTGAAGTTTCCAGGCTGTAGCCTGTGAGTACCTGGGATTGCCAATATCCATATCAGTGAACTTGGAAATAGAGCTTCTAAAACCTGCTAACAGCAATGTGAATAAGTGTGGAGCAGATTCTCCCCTAGTCAAGCCTTAAGAGAACTTCAGCCATGGCTGCCATTATGACTGCATTCTGTGTGAGACCCTAAGCCAGAGGCACACAGCAAACACTTGTGCCTGTAAAAATAATCATATGGAATTAAATTAAAAAGCAGTAACAGAAAAATCTCTTGAAATAATTCAGGAGCTAAACTCCTACCCTTCTAAAAAAAAATGAAAATGAGGAAGAACTTCCTACTTCCTACCTCATTCTGTAAGGATAGCAATATGCTGATATTAAAATCTAACAGTGACATTAAAAGAAGAATGAGGAGGGGGAAAAAAACTCACAGGTAATATTCCTTGTGAACGAAGAGTCAAAATTCTAACAAATTAAATATAGCTAAATATTAAAAAGATAATGCATTATGACCAAATGAAGTTTTATTCCAGGAATCCAAATTTTGTCTACCACCCAAATATTGATCAATATAATTTTACCATATTTACCACCTAAAAAAGAAAACTATATAGTTGTCTCAATACATGCAGAAAAAGCATTTGACAAATTTCAGCATCAATTCTGATAAGATCTCAACAAATTAGGAATAGGAGAGAGTTTCTTAAACCTGATAAAGTACATCTATGGAAAAATCTCCAACTATCATCATTTTTAATAGTAAAATATGACTACTTTTCTGTTATGATCAGAAAGACAAG